TGGCACGAATATCGACAAGCCAACACTTCTTTTTGCTTTTTTCCCTGCAAATTTGATAATTTTATTGATTGATTTTAAAAATCAGTTGACATTTTTTTTGGCCAGGAAGTGAATATGTGTAAAAATTATCAGCTGCAGAATGCACATAGAAGAGTTGCCGGTTTGCGCAGGCTCAGCATTGTCACACCTAGCATATTGGGATTATTCCAGTGACATTCGTAGCGGAAGATACTACTATCCGAGCGATCTTGGTATTTTTAGTACCAGTGAAATAGCTCTTTTGCAAAAAATTATATTTTCGGAAAGGCTTTTATAAAAACGAATAAGCATTTTCAGTAAATCCTTAAATAATTTGCCGAAATCTCTCCTGGTAATCATGCGCAGTGACAACTGATCCCCAGTCATGCTGGAGGTTGAGGATGCAACTTGCTGGTAAACACCTAGCTTCTCTACGATTCGTTCATTTGTTTTGATGGTAAATTGGTACTGGCATATGTAATTGCTTCATCAGATTTTTCTAAGTAACTTTCAGAAAAGAGAGTAACTGATGGCCTTGTCAGGAAGCGGTTGCACGTACTCCTCCAGTCGAGTTACTTTCAAGAGCTTCCAGCGGTCGCTAAGAGTGGATATGGAGAGGGTGTTGGCTTTTGACTTTTGTTTACTACTAAATTTCAATGAATTTTATTTGGTACTTTTCTGAGTTCTTTTAACATTTTTAGTTTCCTTGAATTTTTTGCAAATTTTTACAAATCATTTGATTTTTTTAAAATTCTTTGCGCAAGTGCAGCCGTGACTGTCGATAGTTCCCTCTTCCAAAAATTGCTGCAAGAGTAAGCTGATGGGTCTCAACATTAGTACCTAAGGGGATTTCGTAAACAAGTAAACTGGCACCAGTAGGACTTGCAAAAAAAGTTTACCTTGAAGAGTATGCAGAAAACGTTATGTGTATCGAGTATATTTGTGGACATTGGAATGTAAAAGTGCGAGGCGAAAATGAGAATTGGGCATTTCTGGTTATTGAGCATCTGGACATCGGCTGTTTTTGAATCGGTAAGCTTCCACAAACGAATAGGACAGAGCGCGTCGCCTTCTTCAGTCTGCAAATGTGAAATCTACCCGTAACATTTGGGAGTAACCTCGCTGAACAATGACACAATGTGACATCAGGTTTTCCCGCCCGAACACTTAGAATAACGGCTGCGCATATCTACTGATCGCCCATCTTTTCGAAGGTTGCACAGAAATAAGTGCAAGACAGTTCTGGTCTTCCGATACACGACAGCACTACTAGATACCAAGTATTATTAAAAGCTGTAAAAATCAGTAAACATAGGCGGATTCCGCCCCCCCCCCCTTCCCCAAGCGGCACTGCCACTACTGCTACAAAAGTCCGGGTTTAAAAATAAGACTGGATGAAACTCTCTTCCGCACGCCCCATCGCTCGCCCCCCTTCCCTCCCCCTCTCTTCCAGGAGCCTCACTCCTTCCCGCCTTCTCGCTCGTCGCTCGTCGCGGTACCAGTAGACCCATTTCCTTTGCCCCCCTCCCCTCACCGTCGCTCGGTGAAAAAACTCGCTCTCCTTGCTCCCCCTCCCCCCCCCCTCTCCTCCCCACCCCAGGAAGCAGCCCTAGTCCACCTATGGCAGTAATGTAAGGATAAGTTACCTTGCATGTTCTTCTTAGCCATGCCACCAACTCAGCTCGTCCATTCTGTGCATCGTATATTTTAAGCTCAATGCCGAGGTACTTCAGTGCCATAAAAGTGGTAAATTCGTAGCTTTTTGTGTGCTGTGGATGGATGAGCATGCGCCGATTCCAGTTGAAACTCCCTGAGGAAAATAAATTATTTAGAGGTTGCTACCAGGCGATTACTCAAAATCTTTTTTACTTTTTCCACTGTTCACTTAGGTGGTTAGGTTTGATAACCACTGGATTTAGTTTGCGATTTTTTTTACGCAGTTTAACGTCTGAGTTGGAAAATCTCAGAATTTCGAAGAAATTCCAGGAACTTTTGTCCCAGAAAAAATTTCGAAAAATGTCTTAGAAAGTTTTTTCTCAAATAAATTTCGCACTGCTTCAGTTTAGCTTCATTCGTTTTTGAAATGGAGCAATTATGACAATATTGAGCAAAAT